ACTGTCTGAAACACGACCATCGACTCGACGTCGTGTTGAAGACGGCCGCATTGTTGTTTCAAAACACGACGCATCATATAACTTTGTCAAACAGACTGACGCAAATACGACAAAATTGGTCGAATATGATGAGTCGCATCTGATGGTGGACTTCCCTGAACCACACATGGGCCCGTTAGGTCGCTCAACAACTCTCACAAGTTCATCTAGATGTCGACGATTGGCAGCATAAGTCTCTTCTAGGGTGTAACAACCTGATCGGGCGGGGCTGGGGGGTCCGCCTCGGGTTCCCGCCCGCACCCTTCTGTCCCTCAGCTCGTCAGGGGGGTGTCACGACAAAAATGAAAGAGCCAGAATGACGGTATTGTAAGGCCCGGCAATCTTACACAGCTTCTTGCGGCCGGTGGGCTTCTTCTCGTCCATCCTGGTGGGCGTCCCGTCACCTAGTGCCGCCCACTAATCACAGTGCCACCGCGGTGATGCAAGAGTGATAACAAAGCCGGTGCGTGCCGCCAATCAGTGTATCCACGGTGTGACCCGCCACTCGAGTCTGCGCGCTCTCAAGAGTGTGACGCGGTTATTTCTGCACGCACTAGTCGAAATATCATTGTTCTCAGTACACCGGGGGAATTCCAAAAGCCAAAACCTCCCTCCCAACCTTTCACTCTTTGATGACAAGAACCAACGGGCAAAGGCGCCGCGCCAACTGTTTGTGTGTACCAGTGTGATTGCCTCGCCTCTCGCACTCTGGCATCGCGCACCAAACTGGCTGATCACGAGAAGAAAGCACACGAAATTCGCAGTCCAAAAAACACAGTGAAAGAAAACGAAAATCCCCCCCTGCGCCTTACAACCTGTGGAGTCGATTTGGGGGGTCGAAGCTCGGGGGAGAGTAACACAAGTAAGTATGAGAAATTCCCGATCCGCTTGTGTTTTGTGTTGATGAAGAGAGTGCAGTGCGCAGGAACAACAGGAATCGATTGAAAGTTGCTTGTTGCTGTCTTTTTCGGTGTTAAAAGAAGTGATACCCGTATTTCTACCTGTAGTTCGCGTTGAAATAATTCACTTTTAATTCGTTGATTCCTGATTTTTTATCGTCTTTGTCGTTTCTCAACTTTCTCGCGAGAAACGACCCCCATATTTTCGTTTCGTTTGGAGGTTAATGGTATATTTCGCGGGAGTATGTTTTTGTCTGCGAATTAAGCTGTCTTTGTGTCTTAATGTCGACATTTTAATGCACAATGAGTCCTCCAGGCACAATTTCATTGCGGTATGTAACTCATTTCTCTTAATTTCCTTGTCTGTATATTCTCCATATCAACTACTTGTTTACCTTTTTTTTTCAACAAACATGTTTGTGAAGCAAACAAAATTTAGAACATTAGGTAATATCTTATAATAAATCAAATGTCAAACAGACTGTTCAATAAAATTTTATGTTGCAGGATTGACTTAGATACAGCCAACGATGAAAAAATATGCAACCTAATACCTTTTGTCAGACTTCATAGACTGGAACTGGTAAGCAATGTTTGTTGTTGTTGTTTTTTTCAAATATTCTAATCTGATGTTTTTTTTTGTTGTAACATATTTTCTTTAATTTACAGAGCGGTCAACGCCTAGCAAACAACGGAACTATCATAAAAACTAATACCATCACAAGAAATAAAATAATTAGACATTCTCCCTCTCCCCCTTCTCTCAAGAGAAGTAGAGGAAGAGGACAAGAAGCAAAATCTCCTGTACTTCCAAGTACTCACCTCATAGATGACACTGAAACTAGCACAAGAAGTAAAATAATTAGACAGTCTCCCTCTCTATTTCCTCTGAAGAGAACTAGAAGGGAACTAAAAGCAAAATCTCTCGTATTACAAAGTCCTCACCTCTTAGATGATGAAGAAACTGTCTTGAATAATAACCCAAATAGACAGTCTCCATCCTCACCTTCTCCAAAGAGAAAAGGAAAAATGGGACTAGAAGCAAAATCTACTGTACTACAAAGTGCTACCCTCATAGATGACAATATATTTGCTAAAAAAAATAATTCTTCTAAACAGTCTCCTCCCCATTCTGTAAGGAGAATTGTAACAAGGGGTCAAGACTCAAAAGGTCTTGATGCAAGGCCTTTTAAATGTACTTTGTGCATGGAATGCTTCCATACCAGCGTCCTTCTAGCTGTACATATGAGAATCCATGACAAAGATAGTGATGAAGAAGACGAAGATGAAGAAGATGTAGATGATGTTGAGGATTTTGAACAGATTGATGTCGATTCAGATGATACGAGTGTTGAAAATGAATCAAACAGACCTGGCCTTTTGAACTCATCCTTATCCAGGGAAAATGAAAACTTGCCTCAGAATATTCGTATCAGTTCAATAACATCTGGCAGGAATTCTAATTACAATTCCAAAACCCTTTCTACTACCGACGAGGATTCTGTCAGCAGGTATCAGTGTATTTCAGTTCTTCTCCTCATTCCCTGATTTTTTGTCTCTTCATGCATTTTCCTGCTACATCTGTTTTTCAGTGTGATTTCCAATGGTGGTCTTCCTAGTCCTAAAAGCAACTCAACAGCAGTAGAGTTACCACAGAAAAGAAGAGGGCCCATCAAGCTACTGAAATGTAAGGAATGCCCAGCATCTTTCTCCCAGCAGTGGTATTTAGACCTCCATCTAATTCTTCTGCATTACATCAATAACAAAAATTCTTCCATAAAATGTCCTGGATGTACTTCTATATTTGTAAATGAACATCACCTTAGACAGCATATTGAAACAAGTCATAGTCTGGTAAGTTATTGCAGAGGTCAGGTGTATGCTACATACATATTTAAGTCATAGGGGGGCAGGTCCACAAAAGCATGGAAATGGTTTAGCATTGTGGCGCCCATATAGAAGATTTCAGTATGTGTAATTGCTTCTAATATTTCCTGTTGGTTCTATCATAACTTATCTATTTTTGCATTGTTTTGTTTTACAGCATTTAACTATTATGAATAATGAGATAAGTTCCGCTTTGGGTCTGACAACAGATGCTCTGACTGGTGAACAGTGAGTACACTCCTGTCATCTTTGAAAAATTCTTCTTTTGGTTTGTTTTTTTAGCTAATGTATAACTGTTATTTTCAGTATAAAAAATCAAAAGAAAAGAGGACCAGTTCCACTTTTAAATAGTTTAGAGCAGTCTCACCAGGTCAGACGCTCATTTCATACTTCAATTCCTAATAATTTGCCAAGTAATTGGCACATGGCCTCTTCATATGAACGAGATCAACTTATTGAGCTCTTAGAAGCAGAGCTGAAGTATATAGCACTCGAGCGAAACAGACTGGGTGATCATTTTTCCTACTCTGACATTCAGCGTTTATCTCTTCAAATCTGTGAATATCTTCAAGTTTCAAATTTCTTTGACAACCTTCCACCCAAAAGATGGGCACAAAAAGTACTAATAAAAGTCCGCCAAATTCCGCGACCTGGTAGATTTCGCTTTGTTCATAACGTTAATGCAAGCTATCTAAATGCTGTCAGTGAGCTTTCCAACCGGGGGCTATCAGAAAACAAAATATTTTATGCATTTGAAGCAAGAATTTGTGATGTGAAGAAAGATGGAATTGCTCAAAGAGTTCCAAAAACACCTATTGGGGCTACAAGTCCTGATGTTTCTGTTGAAGACACTATATGCACTGTTCTTTGTACCAATGCAAATGGCTCAGTGCTTTTACAACCAACCATTGTTTTTCGGAATCAAATTGCAGATGTCAAAAGCCTTCACAAACTCAAGGCTTTGAAAACCACATATCCTTCTAGAGACTTTCTAGAGAATGATTATTTCCATGAGTGGTTTGCACAATTCCTCCTAGCTGTTCCTCCTGCAAGACCGATTCTCCTCCTTGTGGAGGGCTGTGTATCTCAATTATCATTTCGTATCATCATGATGGCCAGAGAAAATGATGTACACATACTCTTCGTTCCTAGTCGGAAACGATTTGTCCATTCCCATCAGCTCATCCGAGAATCTCTACTGATTCCATTGATGAGAGAGTTTGACAAAGAAGTTGTTAAATATCTGGAAACTCACAATTTAAGCTCATTAAATGTGTAAGTATTAGTCTTCTCAATCTCAAATTTCAATTTTGATATAGTAAATACATTTTTATTTCTTAATCTAAATCTGTGTTACTGCAGGAAAGATTTTGGTAAAGTGTTTGAACCAGCATGGAGGGGAGCTCTACCTGAAGCAGAAACAAGGAAGAGTTTTATCCAATCAGGATTCTTGCCGCTCCCTAACTCAACTGCACCTTTGGAAGTTGCTGCTAGGGACTATTTGGATGGAGTTATTGCTGTAGGAAAGGGCACTAAGTCAAGTTCTGATGTCAGCTCTCGAAAATTGCCAAAACTTACAACACATGTAAGAACCTGTAAAATTTTCAGAAACCTCTATTTATTGGCTTGCTATACTTACACATTAAGTATCTGATCATGGTGTTTGTACTTTGACTGTCCTCAGAATAAGTCTACCCCTGATGCAAGCCCTCCTGCAGCCAGTGTTGAATCTACCCCTTCCTGTGTAACGGGTGACTCCTCAACTCTCACACCAGAAAAAATTAAAGAGGAACCAGTTGATTCTGATCCAAGTGATGAAATTACTCAGTTGCCAGCGCTAGGGGAAATCAAACATGAACCTCAAGAAAGTGATCCAGTTGACCCTCCTTTGGATGAATTCAAACAAGAGGTGGTTGACCTTCCTAGTAGTTCACAAGCCGTACCTCAGTTGGAGGTGGTGAAGTTTGAGGCAGAGGAACACGAGTGCTCTGGTTGCAATAGGTCCTTTCATTCACTTGGCGATCTATCCTCTCACCAGTGTAATGTTGTAAGTTATCCACCAATTTTGATGTACCTGTACTACACTGATAAGCTAAGTACTCAACTGCATAGCAATACACTTGTAAGTGTCAGCTCGGTAGTTGTGCACTTGTAAGTTACCAACTCCTCTGTTAAACATTTCCCATACAGTAGGCGTCTAATCTAAGTGTTCTGTCACATTGATTATCAGTGTAGTTAAAAATCTTTGTCTCATATGTTTTTCTTCTTCTTTTACAAATCTCAGCGACCAGCAAATCCGCCAAGGGAGAACACTGTGGGCCAGAGTGCTAATGAAGACTGCTACTATCACAAATGTTCACAGTGCAGCATGTCTTATGCCTTGAAAGAATCTCTTGTATTGCATAGTCGTACCCACCATTTGCCCCAGTGAGTCAATTTTTAGCTTCAAAAACATTTGATCCACACAAAATTCATTTCACCATGAATTTCATCTTTGTGTTTTTGCAGAGCTGCTTCGTCGAGTGGTAAAAAATTCCCAAAAGCCCGCTTGGTAGCTAATCCAAGTAACGCACGGATAGTTAAGGTTCAGCAACAGAAGGACTCTGCTGCTCCGGTCTTGAAGAGAAAAACTTTGATAGAGGAACAAACAAATTTGGATAACTCAATGCTCAAAATGCATAAAAAGGTACACTATTAAATTTGTTTAAGTCACCACAGACCATACTAACAGTATACACGTAATTATTGAATTATTTATCTTTTAACCTTTTTTGCAACAGGAGGCCTCTTTTGCTCAAGTCTTAAAGAAGAAAACTACAGAAGAGGGAGGAACTTATTTGCAAATGCCAATGCACAAAGTGCCGCATAAGGTATGATAGTGCTCTTTCAATCAGCACAGGCACGGAATGATAATTACTTAATCTATCCCAAATTAGTTAAATACTCAAATTTTAATTATTTTTTCTTCTGAAGGTTATATGGTCTCTTGATGGTAAACCTTCTCCAACCTCCGACTCTGGGACGGAATCTGCATCTTCTACCTCATCAAGAACACTCTCAGCATCACCTGAACCGTTTAATGAGCATGGTGTGTGTACGTACTGCCAGAACTCTATAACTTTAGAGCCACATCAGATGATTAATTTGCTGGTTTTCTTCTCCGCTTTAGCATATTCTTCGGCTTCAAGATCACTACTTCCCCCTCCACCTCTTCCTGAACATGACTACCTTGGCCAAATATACCAGAATCCAGCAAGAAGAAATGAGATCATTCAAAAAAGAGGAATCTTCAACACACTCAATTATGAAGATGATACTTCATCTCCAGTGCAAAAGATCCTTATTGCTATGAAAGCTCCTAAAAAGGGCACTATTCTCATTCATACTGACACATTGTCTAATAAAAAAGTGCATGAATGGATGGAGTAAACGAAAGAATTAAGTTCAAATACAAACAATTTATAGTCAAAATATGTTAACCAATTATGTTTGCCTTTGAATTTATATATATTTCTGTGTGATATTAGAGATAGATATTATTTGTGATTAATGTAATGAATCTTGTATGTTTGATTGTGTAGGAGCATACATGTATAATTAATTTATGATTAATTTATGACTAAGACATATCGCTGACAAGAGAAATCAGTAGAATAACCAGTATTTTGGATTATTTTTTCCCTCTCTTTATTTAAATTTGACCCGTTGCTATACTTAAACATCTTAATTAAAAGTAGGTATATTACATTCAGGAGAATTCACTCCAGGACCAAGCATTAATTCATATGTACATGGTCAAAGAAAGACTTGGATGCCAAATTAGATAGTCTAGTAACCCTATAACAACCTTAAAAGTACAATAAAATTTCAGAAACAGAAAAGAAACACTTAAATTCTAGATAATTTTTAAAAAATAATAGTGATTCTTTAAAATGCTTATAAGGCCACAAGTTAGTAGAAAATAACTTCATGAAACCCATGCTGCAAGAGCACTACGTATACCTGAGGCAAAGACTGTATGCTTACCTATGCCTTTTGATTCTAGGCGTGATCGATCCATTTGTGTGTCATATGGGCGATTTACAGATTGTGTATTTCCATTACTTGAGTCAGGAGTCTTTGATAAATGAGCATGAGGCAAACTAAATACTTCACCCATAATCTGGACCATTTGGAATTTAGTAAGTGTTTCTGAACCACACCATTGAAACACTCCACTTATATCCAAATCCTAGAAGTGAACAAAAGGATACAAGCTAATTTTAACAAACTGGAAATTTTAAAATTACAGAGTTGTTGGTCACAAACAAATACTTACATTGTGATCAAATCTGAATACTGCCATATTCAAACAGATTTCCGCAATGTCATCAACATGGGAAGGGCAGCGTTTTTCATAATCGGACACTTTAGTTGGCTTTGCAACATTTAGAAGTGGTTCAAGCAGACAAGTAACAGCACTTTCAGAAAGTTTTTCTACTGGTCCATATAATACAGGTACTCTTAGGATTATATTCTCTGCAAAAAGAAATTGGTTTAGCTTACTGGTGAAGTTCCTTGTGTATTCAAATTATACTAACCACCTAAATACCTTTATTAGCAGCTTTTACTATTTCTTCTCCTTCTAGTTTCAATTTTCCATAGTCATTCAAAGGATTTGGTTTGTCCTCTACCTTGTAGGGAGGATTGCGTCCATCAAACACATAATCTGTGCTAATGTAGAGGAGAGGAATGTCATACTTATCTGAAAAATGTGATGATTTGGTAAATTTGTAAACTCGAAAATTTTCATTGTAAAATTACCTTTTGCACTTGGTTCTACATACCTGCTGTTTCTGCAAGATGGAATGTAGCATCTACATTGATTCGGCGTGCACCTTCTGGGTCAGCACTCACTTTGTCTGGAAACCGCTGAGCGGCAGAGTGAATGATGAGAGTTGGTTTGAATTTGATGATAGCTGCGCTTACAGCCCCAAAGTCAGTGAGATCAAGTTTTTGTAATTCTGGGCCCGTCCTGAAAGGAAAGCAGTGAAAATTTATTAAAATATTTACAAAAGGGACAGGAAATGAGGCCAGAGTTGTACCAGGGCGAAATTGTGGACTGAATCAGGTGTTTTTCTCCCTTTTTGTGCCTTAAGGACAAGAGGAAATTGTCAAGCGTATAGCAGGTAGTAGTAATAATAAGTAATTTTTTACCTAGAAAGAGATACTCCAAAGACAGTCCAGCCGGCTTCCTTGAAAGTTCGGTGGATGGATCTTCCTAACAACCCGGACGCACCCGTAAGAAATAGCTTTCTTTCAATTTTTTCAGCCATAGTAACAAAAATGACCGAATGGCGGATTATGACTTGTAGCTTTTTAAACTGTTCAATGAAGGTCAAACTCAAACAAAATGCCGAATCAGACGACGTAAAACGTAAACACGTAAACAAAAACAAATAAAAAGGAGATCGGAACGATCTGTACAGTTTAGACAACCAGAAACAAAACTGTTGTACTGTAGACTGTTAAATTATAGCGATTTTGATTGGTCTGGATGATTGTAAAACCTTTTCATTATAAAAAAAGAGGGCAAAACTTATAATTTTTAAAGAAAAATCTGGGAGTAAAAGTAAACATGATTCGAAATCCACTTCCTTCATTTTTTTCAGAGTGTATCGTGTTTTGGCGCTCTTCGTTCGAACGAATGCGTTCAAACCACTGACAGAACTGACTGAACAATAAGACATCCGTCTGCTTTGTTCCAAGTAACTTTGTTGCCAACTGTTATCAATCATAACCACTAAAATTCGGATGGACTTCATAATAAAGAGATTGTCTTTCAAACTAAACGGATGCAGGTTTTTGTTATTTTTTGTCCAAAATCACACCCAGCATAATGATCGAGGTTGGCAATATTGTAGTGTAGGGGAGAAGCAAGAAGAAATTGGAAAGAAGAAGAAAGGGTTAAAAGGCACCGGCCAAGGAGAAGGGGGCACGATGTAATGAATGAATGAATGAATGACAGTTCTCTCCTTCAATTTGTGCTACTGTGTCAACTTGCCACATTTGTCAACGTCGCTATGGCAGGAGTGCTTCAGCTTCACTCCGACGAGCTAAGTAAGTTTTCTCGATATCCTGCTGATGTGTTTGTCTTCCAACGAAAACTTTGTGCCCATATAAGTCATTCAGTCACCGCGGTCAGCCGGTCTGTGACTAACCTCACCACTCCACGTGGTGTGGTGTATTCGTCTGTCCGTTATGATGTTCCTAAACAGTTTGAGCATGTTGATTTGAGCAGGGCTTGCGCATCATTCCCCATCTCGGATTTGAACTTAATTTGGCTGGTTTGTAGTACAATGTGGCTACCTTGCAAATCAAAATCACGTTCGGTTCTCATTCAAGATAGCAGGGAGGGAGCTGCGCACAGTCGCGCTCGTCTGAATGGGTGAACTAATTTGATCGTTTATTATCCTCTTTCCAGGAGGATTGCTGAGGATTGCTGAGCGTCACGGGCGGGGTAGCAGTTCAGTAGCACTGGGGGAACAGTAGGAGACCTGGTAAGCTATTGCTGTGTATTGTCTTGAGTTTTCTCTACTTGTTGTGGCAAGGCTACAGTTGCTGCCTTGATCTCTTGCAGCGCTCTCTGGCCCATTTATCCGTAGACATGTGTTTTGGTGTTGTGTAACTATACGCAGCGCACCCCACCTTCAAAGTACTTCTTGATTAGTTCTCCAATTTCATGTCTCTTCTCATGGAAATAAGTTCATTAGTATGGCATGCTTGGTACCACGTGACCATTCCTGCTACGCATAGTTCACTTTCAATATTCTGTTTGAGGTTGAATGTTTCTTGAACTTGATTTCTAGTCTTCGTGATGCCATTGTAGCTGGAAGACACTCCAATTGATTTGCGTAAACTGACTGGCTGCATGAGAACTGAAGCCAGCGTCACGCTAATAAGTTCAGCCAATGAGTTTATCCTAAACAAATTATGACGGGGTGGCTTCAGCTTCACAGGCTTCAATCATGGGTATTGTTAAACTAAGTTACATGAAACTGCTCCTTAAGACGTCATCTTTATATTTTGGTGATGCATTGATATTGTGATGTTGAACACTTGTCCAACAAACATCATTTGTCAACCTTTAATCTTGATGCAGTTTTCTGGCTCTATGAGCTATAAAAGAATGTATTAGCTGAGACATGTTACTGACTTTAGGAGTGAAGCTGCTCTTCAGTGTGTCTGTTTGACGCATGCTTTAATGTTTCCTTTCTTTTTCTGCAGGGTTGCCGCTGCTGCTCCCAGTCGTCCTGCTCCCAGTCGTCCTGCTGTCTGTCCAGGTGAAGGGCTTCGGTGGAACAAGTATTTCTCTGGATGTGGACCCTTGTTGGCTGTTCTTACTTTCTGTGGTGAGCTGGCTGTAGGGCGTTGCCTGCTCGCTACGTGGCTTGTCTGTCCCTTCAGGACGCCCCCCGGACACGCTCGCGTACCTGCCTGCTGCCACTGCAGAGCCAGTCTGATGCGCCTTCAGCGTGGCGTGGGGCCATGGGGCCCAGGCCTCACGCCTAGGACGAGCTGTGCGTGGAGAGGTGGGCCCTTCAGGGCGGTGGGCGCGCCCCCTCGGGCAAATATCACTGCGGTTCAAGTTTTTGAAAAGAACTCCACGAGGCGACGTGTCCGGTGCGACGCGAGATCCGCCGAGCCCCGGCCAGCGGGCCGTTTGCGCTTTACTTGTGTCTTACGGGAATCTTGTTCGGCACGACGCTCAAAGCCTTTCAGTTCCAGGCACACCAACTCCAGGAAGCACCGGACGTGGCTACGCACGCGGGCCACCAGGGGCATCAGGTCACAGGTCACCGTCACCACCACCGTGGGACTTGCCACCGTAGCCCAAGCAGCATCACAGGACTCTTCGGCCAGGACACTGCCGGGCGCCGAGGACAACTGCGTCGCCGGGGTGCTACACGCCCCTTCGCGGCCGCCCCTGCTCCGCGCGCCCCGCCCCGCCGCGCTCTCTGCCGCGGGTTTGGGGGCGCCCTGTGAGAACTCTCCGCCTGTACCCTCCGGGTAGGCCCTGTCGCGTACAGAGCGAGGGTTGCCGTCGAAGGCTGCCCCTCCGCGCCGACCATCTCCGGGGCTAAAGCGTTGGGCTGCGGACCATCCTCTCCGGTAGAGGCAGAGCGGGACGGAGGCTGCACTTGCCGGGGGCTGGCGCGGGGCTCGACGGTCCCCGGGCACCCTGCAGGACCAACGGAGGAGCGCCAGGTCGCGCAGGACATCACCATCACCGCCACCACAACCACAACCACAACCACCACCCGAGCAGTGCTGCAGACGCAGGACGCTTTCGATCAGCGCGCATGGGACGCGGCGCTCAAGCTAACACGGTACACATGCCTGTCCGTTCACCCTACATGGAAATTAACTCTTTCTACTTGACGCTTGTATTAATCTTGTTTTTGTATGTTCAGGTTCGCCGCCTCCGGGCGCCTGTTCTAGGCCCGGGTAACTGTCCAGAGGAGGCAGCGGACACCGAGGTGGACACGGTGCGCGGCCACAGGTGAGCAATGTCACGTTTAACAACTTCATTCATTCCTATATGTCAACGTCCTCCCCATAGGTTTTGTTTATTTCTAAAGTTTGCTTCGCATCTAACGCGTTCCCGTCTCTTTTCGCAGATCCGTCGTACCGGGCGTGGCTACGCGGGCCACCAGGATCACCACGTCGCGCGTCTCCATCACCAGCCACAGCCACCGTCAGCGTCGCAACCACCGTGGGACTTCCCTCACCATAGCCGGAGGAGCGCCCCAGGACACTCGCGAGCGCAGAGGACAAGACTGCGTTGTTGGGGCGCGTTTTACCGCCGGACACGGTAGGTGTTCCACCATCCGACCTGGTATGCATTCTTATCTGACGCTTGCATTAATCATCTTTGTTTGACATGCTCAGGTTCGCCGCTGCGAGGCGCCCGGTCCAGGCTCTGGTAACGAGAGGCTTTGTCGGCAAACGAGTATTTCTACGGATGTCCAGCTTCGTGGTTGTCCTGCTTGCTGCCGTGTGAGCTGGCTGTGTGCCGCTGTGCCCCGACGGCGCGCTCGTCTTTCCCTTCAGGTGCTCGGGGCCGGCCCTTAGTGTGACGAGAGTCTCGTACCCGCCCTCCAGCGCTACCGCTGCTGCCCCGCACCTTCAGTGCAGGTGGGCGAGCCGGCTCGCTCACCAGGGGCGGCGGTTGGTACGTGGAGTCGGCGGGGGTGGCTGGCGTGTTCACGGGCAAATATCGCATTTGGTGGTCAAGTTTTTGAAATGGACGCACGTTCGAGGCACGACGTCCGGCTGAAATAAGAGTTTGCCAATAACGCCTCTCCCTTGAATGTTACTTGATTTGTTCTGTCGGCTCGTTGCTCAAACTCTCCCTTGTTCCAGGCATAGTCTGAATACTGCAGCAGAACTGCGAGCGCACGGCCGAAACCCACAAGGTGAGTACGACTAGCACCCCCTCCCCCCCTCCCCCTTCGCATTTTCTTTTTGTCTGGCATTTCTCTTTACTCCCGTTTTTGTTTGGCAGACGAGACTGCCACTACGCCGCCGCGTCGAGGAAAGACGGCCTGCTCCAACATTTAGCCTACCTTGTTTATATTCTACCTGTCTGTAAAAAGATTTGAATAAAGATGTTTTTCGAACTAAATAAATGGGGAAAGGGTTGGGGTTTCTCCTACAGCCCGTGAACCTCGCAGTTACCGTCGCTGCGGACGTCGTTCAGAGAAGGTGAGTGTTCGTTGATCGCTGTACCAGTTCTGTTAGCACGCTGCCTTGTGTGGTTCCATATCTTACGCCCTTTTTGTTCTGTTTCAGACGCGTCGCCGCTGCGCCCTTCCCGTCACCACCACCGTGGGACTTGCCCGCACCACAGGACTCTTCGGCCAGGACACTCTCCGGTCGCCGAGGACAACTGCGTCGCCGGGGTGCTACACGCCCCTTCGCGGCCGCCCCTGCTCCGCGCCCCGCCCCGCCGCGCTCTCGGCCGCGGGTTTGGGGGCGCCCTGTGACAACTGTCCGCCTGTACCCTTCGGAGTAGGCCCTGTCGCGTACAGAGCGAGGGCCGCCCTCGCAGGCTGCTCCTCCGCGCTGACCATCTCCGGGGCGAAAGCGTTGGGCTGCCGACCATCCTCTCCGGTAGAGGCAGAGCGGGACGGAGGCTGCACTTGCCGGGGGCTGGCGCGGGGCTCGGCGGACCACCGCGGGCACTCCTGCAGGACCAGCGGAGGAGCGACAGGTCGCAGGACACCGCTACCACCTCAACGGCCGTCACCAGCGTCGCCGCCGCCCCCCCCCCCTCTCTGAACGTTACTTGCTTTGTGTTGGCTCGTTGCTCAAGATATTTCTTGTTCCAGCCAGGCATCAGACGCTGTTCCCGGCCACCTCCATTGGACTTCCCCGCCGACGCAGGACGCAGGTCGCGGCCGGCGATAGTGTTTCTTTGTTTGCATTCTGTTTGGTGGTTGTGGTGCTTGGCTTATGTGTTTGTGGTTGTAGGGTATGGTTTGTGGTAGGGTAGTTTCTGTGTTTATGTGTTGTGTGTTTATGTTGGTTTGTGTGTCGTGTGTTTATGTTGGTTTGTGTGTTGTGGTATGGGTTGTGTCCTGTCTTAATTTTGTATTCTTTTTTTTTTTTGTACTTCTCTTTACAGATGGGTGAGGACGGCAGGACATCATATTTGATGTGAATCACTCTTGAAAGACTTTGCTTTTGAGAGGGATTCTAGCTACAGCAGCACCAATTACATTTAATCAATTTAGTGCTCAAGTTAGTCTCATCCAGACTGGCCATGTTTTAACGTATTGCAGTATGTCACTTATATTTTCCTTGCTGACCTCTTGAATTGGATTTGGTGCTGCTTTAGTTTCCTGTCGTTGGCGTTACGCATAATATTCAGGCCATGTAGGCTTTAATATATTGCTCCTCCCCGTGGTCTCACCCGGGAAGAAATTATATGCTTCTAA